TTTTAAGACAGAAAAAAACACACAAGGATTGTGTGTTTAATACTTATTGCAATGCCCATTTCTAAGCCATAAGGTTGCAGTGATCCTTTTCCCAAACACAACGTGAGTTTAGTGATGGGCTGGTGTTTGCTTACAGGAGATGTTTATCCACACCAGAGGTGATTCTGAAGATGAGGATTTCCTACATATTAAATAAAAATGTTTTGCCCTTTGTGACCCTACCTTTAAATTTCTTAGTTCCGAGTTCAGTAGGGATCCCCAAAACAAATGATTTGGGATGGTTTTTTCTCAGTGTAGGCATTCACTGCCTGGTTTTACCTGTAGTTGTTCTGTTTGTGGTCTCTGCACATAATGCTCACTGTAGAGAGAGATTAGTTATGAGAAGATTATGCAAGTGCTGCTGGTGTGCCTAAAGCTGCAAATGTTCTGGTGTATACAAAGGAAACATTAATCAAGACGTCTTACAGAGAATTAAGGGAGGAAGTAGCTTTGTCCCCTGACTACTACATGATTTTCACTGCCCAGCGCAGAAGGCAGGCAGAGAAGCAGAACGCAACAGAAAGGGGTTGTTCTGCTCTCAGAGAAAGCAAGAGCAGATTGCTGGGGGTGGCTGTGTTAGGCATCTTCCCCAAAACCAGCACGAGAGAGGCAGCTTTAAGGACTCTGCAGGGCATGTGAGCTTTGAGTTAGGTTGGAGGGTTGAACTAACCACGCTCCTGAGCTTGCTGAAGAAGCTGAGAGAAATCCTTCCTGCTGCATCTAATCTGAATAAAGCCGTCTGTAGCTTTGGCTTTCCGTAACTTGGTGCCTTCAGCAACCTGCATTATTTTATTGTCCAGCCTGGACCGATTGTCAAGCCGAGTGACATGGCATGCAGCAGACGGTGTGGCAGTCCTTAAAACTGGAACACTCCTGCAGTACCAGCGTTTCAGTGTGTTCATCTGGAGCACATGAAGGGTTGAAGGAGCAGGGCTCCATCAAGCTGCTGGGGCTGGTGTGGGAACCAGTAGAGCAGGACATGGTCTAGGAGGAGCATACTGGGAACCACCACTGGTGAGGAAAGGTCCCCTTGCCGACACCCCAGAGAAATAGCTGACCCCAATAATTCTGAGGGATAGCTGATACTTACTGTGAAGATTCGTTGCTTCAGGTTCCAGCTAACAGCGTGACAGCCCAAAACATTGAGTGGCAGCTCTAACACGTGTGTTTTGCCGTAGCCCGAACCAAAAAATCATTTATTAGGTAGGGAAAAAAATTTCCTGCTCAGGCACTTTTCACTGTAGCAGGTTTTATTTAACTGTTAGTAGGGAATTGGTTGTCCAATTACCTATCTTATAAATAGGTATTTTAGGAATAGCTTCCAGAAAGAGATTTCACAGACTTTCTGAATTGATTCAGCTGTTGTAAATCACCAGTGCATCACTGAACTAATCATTTACCCTTGTTGAGGATTTGTGCTGCTGTTTTTCGTTGTGAATACTTAGGACTGTAATCACTAGAAATGTGCTAACACTTTGCCTTCTCTTCATTCATGAGATTTTTACCTCCTCAGGGTTAATTGAATCAGGAAATGTCAGTACCGTTAGATTTAATTTTCCATATTGCTGTGGATTCTGGAGTGAGTGACTGCTGTGAATACAAAATATGGTTTAATTTGATTTCTGGGAAATATTTAGTGACCAGAAAAATAAAAGGTTGTTTGAAACAAGCCTTGAATAAATTAAGAGCCCCCTCTAACTAGCACAGTGTTCTTGACTATACGAAACCCCTAATTTATAGAGATGTGCATATTTCACATCTATTTTAAATGCTGGAAATGAGAGCAAGCAAACCAACCTACCCACCAGTTTGCAGAGGTTAGGGGCAGCATAACGTCTGCACAGTGTTTATTTGTGTGGTAAATATATATCAAGAACTTCAAAAATTTGAAGATGGAGCCGGGAAAATTCCATCTCCAAAAGCCCAATCCTGAAAGCTGCCACTATCTTCCCAGCGAGCACAAAAGGCTCAAAATGCAGAGCAGCTGTGTGAAACATCTCTGCACCAACACTGGTCATCTGTAAGTGTTTTAGTCGCTGCCTTCACCCAAAATGGGTCTGGTGTTGGAAGAGGAGAGCGCTGGAAGCTCCTATTTGCTTTAATGGCAGCCACAAGGCTCGCTGATAAAATAACTTTTATTTTTGCCCCATTGCTCCTTCGTTGGCTGTTCCTGAAGCTGCCTGGGAGTGAAAATCACATTAGGCATTTGCACCCTGTTAAGTTCACCACTTTCATTGCCTGTGTTTCGTGGGGGTTTGATGCAGACTTTTCATCTGCTATATTTTTCTTTTTTAAAAGATAAAGTGGTCTCAAAGACAAGGTTAGCAAGAAGTTTATTTCCTGCTGCTGAATTATTTATTCCTGTTTAAGCTCCAGTGAACAGCCCACATTTAATACCCCATTACCACTAAGAGACCTGTCAAGGCAAAAAGGGCAATCCTGAAAAATGCTGTGTTTAGTGGCTCTGTCAATACACTCTGTATTACCTTTCCTTTATTTTTATGATCAAGAGCACAGAATAGAAGGCCAGAAATGACCTGCGCTGCAAACCTCAGGGTGCTTTAATCTAACTGAGACAACCAGATAAATTCATGCAAGAGCTAGCGTGAAGATTTTTCGCAGTGAGGTTAGCTTCCTAAGTGAGCTTATGGATTCTGCATCAGTTGACGTCTTCAACTCAAGAGATGATGTCTTTCTTAGACGATTCTCCATATATTCTTGGAACCCTTCACACCCTCCTGTCTCACACGGGTGATTCTGGGCAGAGTCTGGATTATTTAGGTGTCTAAAGAGCCCTGTTGTGAAAAATGCTGAACACACCTCGCACCTTCCTGTTTGGAAAATTGCCCCTGGCATCTACTGTTCAGCATCCCCTACAACTCTCACAAGCTTTATGAAATCTGAAGCCAGCTTGGGCAGGCAGACGGATAGACGTACGGATATAACAAGGAACTCTCTGAGTAAGTGAGCTGATGAAGCCTCCTTTTCTTACAGACTTGTGGCTTATGTTGGATTCACAGAATCACAGAATGTTAGAGCTTGGAAGGGACCTCGAAAGATCATCTAGTCCAATCCCCCTGCCGGAGCAGGAACACCTAGATCAGATCACACAAGAACGCATCCAGGCGGGCTTTGAATGTCTCCAGAGAAGGAGACTCCACAACCTCTCTGGGCAGCCTGTTCCAGTGCTCTGTCACCCTCACCGTGAAGAAGTTTTTCCTCATATTCAAGTGGAACCTCCTATGTTCCAGCTTGAACCCATTGCCCCTTGTCCTATCACTGGATGTCACAGAGAAGAGCCTGGCTCCATCCTCCTGACACTCACCCTTCATGTATTTATAAACATTGATTAGGTCACCCCTCAGTCTCCTCTTTTCCAGGCTAAAGAGACCCAGCTCCCTCAGCCTTTCCTCAGCAGGGAGATGCTCCATTCCCTTCATCATCTTTGTGGCTCTGCGCTGGACTCTCTCCAGCAGTTCAACTGATTCACTGATGTTTGGTACTAGCTGGGTTCATAGTATTGCCCTTCTTTCATAGGGCAATGATACGGTTTACCTTCTTTCTTCAGCCATACATGCTTTCACATAACTTTTAAGAAGATAGTATTTTCCAGTTTTCTAGCACCTGTTGGATTTCCTTGACTTTTGCCAATGGTACAGAAGGCATGGGGAGGGGGGGAGGGAGGGAGGATAAAACAGGATAGAAACAGATGCAGACACACAAAGAAATATCTTTTGGAAATATTCATCAATCTCAGGAATGAGCTGCAGGCCAAGAAATTGTGTTCCAGTATGTCCAGCCTGGTATACAGCCTGCTCTTGCTCTGGTGTCTGGAGGGGTTTTGCCCCCAACATCAGTGTAAGCTGCCTGGCAGTTCTGCACTGGCGTGACTTGTGGTGTTGCTGAGACAAAATGATGCTGAATGCAGCCTGTTTGTTACCCTGTCAAGAAGAGTCTCCACCACAGAGCAGGGTGTAGGAGCCGGGTGGACAGATGGTTCGTGTTTGTAACTTGTTCCCCAGCTTGCTTTCCACTGGATGGACCTGGGATTTCTGAATGCCTTCCTGCACTATCGGCTCGGCCTCGCCAGGTCCCACGGATCTGCTTTTGCTCTGAGCCGCTTACAAGCAGTTCCAGAGGTGCAGGGTTGAGATGGCCTTTCTGGGAACAAGGGTGGAAAATAGCTCAGTGTTAGCATTCCAAACCCAGCTATTTAGACCTGGATTATTTTTAAATATTTTGTTTTCAGGCATGTAACTAGCTGCACTCTTCTCCTCCCTCTCTTTTCTTTTTTTATAGTTAGCTTTAATTTTGCATCTTCTCCCCACTCAGCTGTATGCAATCAAGAGTATCTGTGCAAAAAAAAAAGGTTTATTGACATGGCTGAATGTTAGGTAACTATGTTACCTGCTGCTTTGGAGATGCCTTTGGCTGCAACAGGAACCTGGGGACTTTTGAGCCCGGACATATATTTGCAGGGAGGTTTTACTGGGCGGTTGAATTGACAGGAGGCAGGGCAGCAGCGAGTGGAAAGTGCTGCAGCCACCTCATTTCACCCAGCTGTCATCACATGTCACCAGCCTGAAACCCAGCTTTGTGTGTGACGAAGGGTTGGTCCTTGTCAGCCCCGTCCAGCGCATGGTGTCCCGGTGCTCGAGTACACAGCCTCGCAGCAAGAGTTGTGTGAAGTGGTTACGGTGAAATGCTGCTTTGAATCTGTAGTGCCTTACAGCTACTTCACAGGGGGTCATGATAACACGTAGGGCTGTCCTCAGAGTACTGCCTACCTTAGTTCATTCTCCGTGGATGCTGCGGGCCCAGCAGGGGACATGCATCCCCTTCAAACTGCGGCTGTGTGGGTTGAGTGAGTCTTGTGTTCAGGCTAGCCCCAGCTGCTAGCCATTAGCCCCTTTTTGGATGTTACAGACCCTCACGTCTGATGGCTCACTCATCCCGGCACGATGCGCTGGGTTTGGAAAGACCTGCTGCCCAAACTGGTTTTGGTAACCCATGTGCATTGTTGGAGTCCAGACGGGTTTGGATCAAAGGAAGCTCTTGGGCACTGAGGCCATCTGTTGCTGGAAAGGAGCAGATTCTCTCTTGCCTTGTAAATCACAGCTGGTTTATAAAGTTGATGCAGCCTGCTGTGTAAATAAACTTTTTAAAAATTGCAAAACCCGAAACATCAGGACTGCCTTCTTCAGGGATTAGCTGGGCAGTGGAGGGACAGAGCTCAGATAAAACACAGGAGGGGAGTTTCTCACACTGGGACACTTTTGTTGCATGCCCTCAGCTTTGAAGGCTGAGCTCCAAGAGGCTATTGAGGGTTCCCCATTAAATTGGGGCGCTTGGGCCCATGCAAGCACCAGGGTGGTACTGGGAGCACGAAGGGCAGGGTAGGATGTTCTAGCCCTTCATCAGCCCATTTTCCACCCAGTGCCACACAGGTCACCCTACACGCATGCTGGTCCTGCCCTCCCAAACTGCACTGTGACTCTGGGCAACTTTCCCCCCTTTGCTTTCCCAGTAGCCTAAAAGAGACGGGAAAACTCAGAGGCTCTTTTCAGGAAATGGCCACTGTGCTAAAGGGTTTCCCTTACTGCGGTAAGCGTCCCCCAGAGAAGCAGCAGACCCTGTGGTCTGCAATGCCCACCCAAAGGCTGCGTTAATGCTGCTCACTGCCTCTGGCTGCACATGGGGAGAGAGTGAAGCTTGTAACTCAGGAAGGAGACAGTCATAATATCTGTTTGTAAGGAATAAGAAAGAACTGCTTGTTGGATGGGTATAAAAGAAACCTTTAATTCTAGCCAGGATAGTCTAATGTGTTAGCCAAGTGGTGGCAAAGAGCACAGTACCACCAGGCTCTTCTGTGGCGCTTCACAGAGGCCATTCGGGAGACAAATGCTGTTCTTTACGCTCACAGAGCAACAGAGTTTATCTTACTGGTCAAACTGCAAGGCTGATCTAAATGCCATTTTAAAGAAAAACTGAAGTTACTTATATGTGCTGGAATTGTAAATAAGGGCAGGAGTGACACTGGCGTTATCTCTGCTTGGTGCTCTCTGCAGGCAGTGCAGCTGGTCTTCCTCCATGCAGCTCAGATTATTTTTGTGGAGATGGTGTAACTCTGCTGACGCCAATGGAGTTACATTTATAAAAGAGACTACAAAACCTTAAAAAACCTGGATAGACCCAGTAAGTAGCTATTATCCTAGATAGATCGTTGTAGGTAGGAAGGTGTTATACCGCCTGGATTCACCAAGAAGCAGTGTCCCGCTTCCATGCAGTTTGCAAACACTGGAAGTCAGCAAATCAGTAATTGTAGCTTCAAACTAATATCACTTTTTTTTTTTTTTTTTTTTCTGCATAGCCTTCTGGCACTCTATAAAAAGATCTGGCACGCTACATAGGATTAGGCGGCTTTGAAGCAGCGGAGTCATCTGGGTGTGAAACTTTGATTTCCTGTGTCTTGAAATGAACTGTTATTTCTATCTTTCCTTTTCAGAAAACCCCCACAGCTCATGCCATGAAGGAGGAGAACTTTCTTCGTCGCAGGTTCTCCCTCTGTCCAGCCTCGTCCACCCCTCAGAAGGTCGATCCTCGCAAGCTGACACGCAATCTGTTCTTCGGGGCCGATAATGACATCTACCCACTCAGCCCAGGTTGGTTTCTGATGTGTCAGTGCAGAAAGTAGCATGTCTCAGGTGCTTGACTGCTAGTAGTTATTTTAGCACGCTGCCAGGAAACAGAGAGAAGCAAGTTAATGTGAAAGAGAGAGAAGCTGTTGCAACACAGATACTGCTGGATCCCAGACAGCGCTGCTTTCATGCTGCTGTTGTCTTTCATTGCCATGGCATTAAGTGGGAATGGAGGGCATCAGAGTTGGGGTTTGTAACCGTTTGAAGACTGCATGGCCTCACATTTCAAAAATGACTCATGTTTTTGGGCACATCCACGTTGAGGCGCTTGATGGGTTTCACCCTAAGCGCTGGGCTTGTTTAAGGTTTACTGGCCCTGTTTGCAGACGTTTAATGGCAGGCTTCCTTGTTCAGATTTAGAGCCCAGGATAAATATTACAAGAGCAGACTTTGTGTGGTTAATATTCTGTAAATATCTACAAGCATTACCAGTACCGGGAATCTTGACAGGTTGCAGTGAATGGCAGACTGGCTTTAAGCCTTCTCTTTACATCTTTTTTCCTTTGAATTTCCTAGCACCCTTTTTGGAGGAAATAGAGCTCATTTTATTGTTTCAGAATTTGTTGCTCACAATAAAAATTCAGGTCTTTCCTTGATTGCAGCCTGCAAACAACGTTTCCGTTCCAGTCTGTAAACAAGCACTTCAGGGAACAGTCACAAGTTTGTAGAGCTGTCATTTGCAGCTGTCATGTCAGTGCTAAATAATCAAACCTCACAGCACCTTCGAGAGCTCTCAAAACACTGATATCTAGAGAAAGAACACAGCATCTGTCAAGAGGTTTCAATGTTTATGTAGATGTAACACCTGACTCTCTCAGCTTTGCAGATGTAGAGCAACACCAGGTCTGGGTTTCCTTGCCTTTAAGTGCAAAGGTTTTCAAGGGCCTCTGACTGTGCAGGTATTTCTATTTGTGGGTGTCTGCTTCGAGGCAATGGGGAGTCTATTTTCAACAGTCCTGACTAATCCTGGCTGTCACTGGGGTCTCTAGAAGCTTCAACAACATTTTGGTAATTAAATTGAAAACAGCTTAAAATGGGATACCTAAAATCTCATACATTTCAGCCATGTAGGGACTTCTGAACAGCTAGCTGCCCGTAAGTACAGTTGGTACAGATGTGTGGTAAGTAAACAGCTGTTTCACTTCTGCTATCCTTGGGAGCTGAAGGGCTGATCTTTCAGGCTGTAGTCACTTCCCCGTGCTTCAGGGAGATGGAAAGCCATAGCTTAGGGTTTGCCCATTCTTCAGCTCTTACCAGCATTTTCAGTGCTAAACAAGTTAGTGACTTCCTCACAGAGGTATTCGGCGCTGTAATCTTTAAGAAACCAGGGAAGGGTGAGGGTTTCAGCATGGAAGAGGTAGCTGGAAGAGTATATCTCTTCCTTGACTTTCCCCATCACCTTGTTTCTCCTTGACCCCTGCTGGCAGCTGGACCAAGCAGCCTTTGCTGGGCTCGGCAGAACAAGTGCCTTGAGCCATGCCAGAGCTTTTGTTCTGCTGCTCGGTTCTCCTGAGTAACCTCCGGCACTGGCGTCAGGGAGGGCGGTCACCCTCTGTGTTGCAAAGGAAGAGCATAGGCCAAAGAGTTTGTAAAGGAGAGAATATCCCTTTTAAACAAACAGAAGTTACTGCTTCAGCCAGGGGAATTCTTGCAGAGATTATGGGGTTTTGTCTATCCTTACAATTTTTTTATTCCTTTAATTTCTTTCCTGGTCCCCACAGAGCTGCGTTGTCTCTTTGTTTTCCTCACATTTTCTGTAAGAAGTAAGTGTCATTCTTCACATTCAGTTGCCATTTCCCCTGGCAGGCTTTCCTTTCACTCCTTTGCTGCTGCTTCTGCCTCATTTTCCTCTGAGCCTTGTGTGCTTCCCCCCACCTTCTCCCATCCCTCTGAAGGATGCTGCTGTCACCGTGGATCAGCCACGGGTCTATGTCCATAAGCTGCATCCAATATTTCACTGTCCCCCATTTTTCTCTGTTGTTTTCCATTAGCTTTCAGTACTTGAGGCGTCTCCAGTGGTCTGTGCTTTGCTGCCTGACCTGAGCAGATGTTCTTTATGAGAGCACTGGGCTGATAGTGTTGGGTGGGTGCTGTGGGCAGCAAAGCCCAGTGATTTCCTTCCAGGAATTTGGTGTGTTGTGAGGTGCCTAGAGCTGCAGGTCTCACAGCACCAACACCTGGGATGAGCCTTCCAGCAGTGAAGGTGTGCAAGTAAATAATTCAGTGAGACGGGAGTGACAGACTTTACACCTCAGGCAAGCTATGCTACGAAGATTCAGTTTGGCAAGAGGATTATTTTTTAAAGGAAACATATGGGAAATGCAGGGGGCACTACCTGAAATAACATTTTGGACTTTTTGCTTCTTGCTTGCATACAAAAATGCTAATGATATAGGACGTTCACAGACTAGAGAAACATGAATTGATGTTCCTTGCCCGTGTCTGTCTTTCACTTAGCAATAAGGAGAGAGAATATTTCTCTTTTTTCTCTTTCAGAGGGTTGGAAATTTATTGGGAGAGTAGCTAAAAGAACTTTTAGAGAATCTTTTTGACTAGGCTGCAAGATCACACAGTGTCTTTAAATAAACATTTAGATTAGCTTATCTGCATCCTGAGGGATGCACTTTCATGAATGTGGGAATTTTACTGTGATAGATACACAGAACTAAATTTCAGTCTGGTGTACCCACTGGACCATGTGGCTGATATTTGCAGCAGTAACAGGTTTTATTTGCCTTAGTTTTGCCACACATCAGAGCCTGTATTTCCTCTTGTAGTTACCCAAGTACTTTGTCAGAAAGCCTACAAAACAATAGTTCATGGTGCGTGGAGCTGATCATTAATGCCTCAATAACCCAGTAATTTTGCTTCCCATGACCATTGATCAGTCATGCTTGCTGTATCATTCTTTATAAAGGGGAAAGGCAAATGCACCTGTAGGATTGATGCCCAGCAGAAAACCAAAGTAAAGGAATAGTTACTGTTCTGGAAAGGAACTAAGTATTTATTTTTCCTGTGCATGACAGTAACGGGATCAAAGAAGGTATCAGTAATTCTACTCTGTAACCGCAGGACTGGAGTGCTGGCAGTTTTCTTCACAAAGTGGTGAAGGCTGTGTCCATAAACACCACTAATTCCCTTCCCAAAATCTTTTTTGTTATTTGGTGCAAAACTTTTGGGCTACTTTGTGGAGGACTGTTCTTTGCATGCCCTGCTAGCAGCCAGCACTTTTAAGTCAGAAGAGATTCAACTCTATTTCTGTTGTGGGCATTATGTTTTCTTGATCAGGGAGATAAAAACTTCAGCTTCTATAGCCAGTTAACGTTTAGCTTCTTTTATGTTTTTATGTGGTTTCCTATTTATTTTCTTGAGGTGGCTATGTCTGTTGTGCTCTGGGTGGGACTCTTGCTTTTGGGCTTTCTGTGCACTTAGCTATGTGTGTGGGTGTTTGAGAAACTCGCACATTGTTTCAATAAAGTTTGTTTTCCAAACAAGGGCTGGCTCTCTCCTCCTGCATGGCTGCAGCAAGTCTGCTTGAGACAGACAGCAAAGATAGCTGTCCTCTGAAAAAAACCCTTTCCCTCGCAAGTGGGAAACTTAATGCATTTGGTGTAAGAAACCAATATATGCTGCTTCATAAACTTATCTTATGAATCCTTGTAAATGATATGGCGAGAGTGAACAGTTGCATGTTCCCATTTTTCATAATACTCCATGAACAGGATGGTCCAGAACCTCAGGAACAGCAAAAATGTCATTGTTCAGGTGCAAACCCTTTTAACTGTATTCCTGACAGAAGGCAGAAGTGTCTCACATCCAGGCTTTTGTATGGATACCAGCTGGGAGTTCAGCTTTCTTTAAGAAGTGAGAGAGAATAAAGAATGGAAGTGAATTCTGCTATGCTAATAGAGGCTGCTCCCTCAGAGCAGGCAGCAGCCGATTCCCATTAACTTCACTTGAACTTTTAGCCCATATGTTACTTTCCCATACATGCGCAGAAAAAAAACTCTTCATGGGAAACAAGTGCAGCAGCTACGTGGCTTTGTGAGTTTGTTCCAGTCTCCTCTGCCTCTGTCGGGGAGACTGGGGGCTATAGAGAGGAAAGTGCCATTAGAGAAAGAAAAAATTTGGAGATGCAGATCCCAATCCATGTGCAGCAGTGCTTCTGGCCATCCCACTTGTCATGGTAGCACAAGGGGACTGTCAAATATCCAGCCACTTGGGATTTCTCCTGCCTGCAGACATTAGCTTTCCAAGTGCGATATCTGGGGCTCAGTGTTTCGAGGGGAGGAGTGACAGTTAAGAAACTGGGTTAAGATATAGTTTCCCTGTTGTTGCACCGCCATCCTATGCGACTGCGTAGGTCCTTCCTCTGCTTCGGTTCCCCACGTGAGCCGTGCACTTGCTGTTCCTCTTCTGCCAGGCTTGGAAGCGTTTGCTTTCTGCGTCAGCATGGCTGCGTGCACGTGGCACAGCGCAGCACTGTGCCCCGGGGTGAGAAACACATCTGAAACCCGCACCACCCTTAGTCACCATGTGGGAAGCTGAACACCTTCTAGGGACAGTTGCCCACAGAGCCTTTTTTTAAAATGCCGTGTTGATACACCAGACTGCCTGTCAATGCCTGTGAAAAGGTCATGGGTTTGGTCCTGTCTCTTTACCACTGAAACCCTGTAGCACAGTTGCAGTTCTGGCTGTACTGGGACGTGCTTGTTCTCTCACATGGCCCACAATGGAAATGCAGAACGTGGCCGTAAGGAGATTTATTTTTCAGTAAGTTTCTGTGGCTGGCTTTTCTGATGGTGCTTAGCTGCTTAAATGGCTGCTCTGAAAACTCCAGGAGACGTTATGGCTTCTGACACATCTGTGACAGCTTCTGCTGGCTTCAGAAGAATCAGGATTTTCCCTTGCTGGTTTTGGATTTGGTGGTGTTCCCAAGACTGGCCCACACAATGTTTAAAAACATTTTTAACAGTTCTCATGTTTGCAGTGTGCTACAACTGGATTATATTTCACTGTCTCAATGGTTCTTTACTGCCTCCAGTGTTCTGAAACTCTGATTGCTAACAATTTTGAGAAGAAAGCTACATTGCAATTGGGTAACAGTGACTGTCTTGGCACTAAAAAGCTAATCTCATCAGAATGCTATTTTTTTTTTTTTAACAGAAGCTCTATGCTTTCTCTTACTGTAAGGACATGATTACAGTTGGCAAAAAGAACAGAATTTATCATTACATTTTATTGCTTGGACTAGGACTACACACACTGGTACTAGTGTATAATGTGTATAATGTACTGCAAGTTTAGTATATTTGGGTAGTGGAAATATGTCTCCACAATGATTGGAAAATGTCAGAGTGTTCATTAATACTAGCTAACTGAAAATGTTTCTTATTTTAACAAATAACTTGGTCAGAAGACATTGATCATCTGCAGGTTTTTTTAATTTTGTTTTACTAATTATGTCTAGATGCTGTTCTGTCTTCTGTAATGTTTCACGATCATGGTTATTATTTGTCAAACAAAGCGTGCTATCATGTCCATCTGTGTAGAGTTGCCAGATACTGACCAAGGAGGACAACGTATTGAATAGCTGCCTATTAACTGAATTCCATTTGTTATTTGCATTGAATGAGGCATGGGGTATGTCAGAAAAAGAACAGACTGTGGTAATGTAGTTAAAGACTGCATCATAATGCAGGCACAGAAGGGAGCTGATTAAGAATGCACAAGCAACCTCATTTCTGTTTTTTTCCAGCCTTCACATGCTGGACTTTGCAACCACCATGTTGGTTTACCACGGTGTTTTCAGACTTAACTTTTAAGCAATGCTTGTTGCATAGCCCAAACACCCAAAACATCCAGGCTATTTCAAGCTCTGCAAGGTCCCTCTCTGTGATCCTGGTGTGCCTGCTTCTGCTCGTGACAGCTTCTCTTGACAGCTGTTGGCATGGCTAAAGCCATGTGCAGCCGTGGTTTTGCACAGAATTTCTGTTTCTGAATCACATTTGTTTGTTGCAGGAAAAGACGTGGAAGGAAACAGCCCGACAGCACTGAAGGATGAGACACCGCAGACTCCAAACTCCATTAGTAAGGTACTGTGGGATAGGGATCCATCCCTAGTCTTGCTTTCATTTTTTTCTCAGGCTGTTATTAATCATTCTTACTCTCTCTTTTTAAAAGTCATTGAGAAAGCTTCTCCCTCTGTTCCTGCAGGAACCGCGTACATGTGTTTTGAGAGAAAGAAAATGCATGGCTTTGCATGGTTGGGATAACAGAGAAGCCCACACTTTCCTCTGACTTGATAGCCCCTAACACAGATGAACCCTATTTCTTTGGGCCTCACTTGGCAGTTTAGATATGAATAATTACAGTTGGAAGGTTGATTTTGTCAGCAGAGGTGTCTCCTGCTGTTTCTGATCAGCAAGGCAATCATAAACCTTAACTGTTTGGCAGAGAAAGCTGTAATATTTGGTGTAGTGCATAGCATCCAAAACTGTGAGTCAAGATCCTGGGAGAGAGCTCTAGGAATTGGTGTAACAGGAGAGGAACGCACACTAACCAACATTTCCTGAACACACCATTTCCATCCAGCCTGTCATGGAGGGGAAAAACTGAATCTAAAGACTCTGAACCTGGGTGTTCAAAACCTGTCTCTACATCTAGAGTTACTGAGTCCCTGGGTTTGATTTCCTGTAGAGATGGAATCAACCTTGTAAATTAGATCTGGCTTTGAGATTCATACACGGGCTTTTCTGGCTGCAGCTCCCCGACGTGTTTCTGGAGAGTAACTAGAAATAGAAAGCAGGGCCTGTTAATAAATTTTTAACTAAATTTATTCAACTATGAAGCTATAAAATGCAAATGATGCCAGCTAAAATGAAATATAACACGAAGGAAGCAGCTGCAGAGAAGTGATTTCTTATAATACATGAAAATAGGCTCTGTGTCTTCAAATGCGCGTGGCTGTGCTTGCCTGGAGCTTGCAGGTAGTTCTGCTGGGATGCCCTGGCACAGGTCAGCACAGGGAGATGGTGATGAGAGGAGCTTTGGAGTATGCAACACAAGCTTGTGTATGTGTCCTCTGCTGTTGCTGGAACCTGGCAAGCTGGAAGCTGACCTTGATTTTGCTTTTTCAGGCAGGTTCCTCAAGGGAACCCAGCTTCCCACTTACCCTGGCAGTAGAGAAGCCCAAGGACCGGGCAACTGCATCCAGGGCTTTGTTTTAAGGCCAGATGTTTTGCACTCCTTATAAAGAGTGGTGTTAGATTCCCAATGAATTAGGAATGTAAAGAAGAAGGCTTTTTTTCTGGACAGGAGAACTCAGAGCACTGAAATGCTGTCTGAAAGGGAGTTTGATTCCTGAGGTGCAGGATGAATGCAAGAGTAGGAATGTATTTATGAGACGTGTCTGGGTGAGAGCATGGCCCAGCTGTGTTTTCCCAGCCTCAGTATCTGCCTTGCTATTTAGTCTCCTAAAGGTGTGGTTTTGAATGGAGAGACACCCTTGGGAGATTTGGGTGCCCACCTAGATTTCCACCGTGCTTTGTGTGCACCTGGGAGAGACATTGGTGCTTCTCTTCTTTAGAGTGTCAAGAGCAGTTGTTAAGGAGAGGTAAGAGCAAACGCACAACGCAGAACAATTGCATCAGATTTGTGACTCAAAACAAAGAGGGGTCTGAACCTGGATATGGGCTTTGCTTTCACCAACCCGAGACTTTAGTTTTCCTCACCAATGGACTGAAAACAGATATGAGGACCCCAAAACACTAAGCTTCAACTTGCAGTGTCGCAGGCACTTGCTTTGGCTACTGAACGGGCCAGAGCGAGGTTTTTCTTAACTGCCTGAATGTTCTGCTTAGACACACAATGTTTGATTCGTGTTTCCACTTCACTGGACCTGTGCTGTAGCGCCTGTCATTCTCACTTCACTCTGCTTCGCCTTCCTGTGTTGTACACTACCTTGTTCTTCTCCAGCCATGTAGCTTTTCTTCTGTCCTGCTTTGGAGCGTCAGGGACAGCAGAGAGTCCCTGTTGTGAAATGTCTTGTACATTAAAAATTTAGGCAAGCTGATAGTCAGTTTGCTTAATATTTCATTTTTTACGTCCACTCAGCTCTAAGGCTATAAAATGAAACCTTACTGTTGGGTGTACAGAACTGTAAATAGGGATCTGTCGCAGTATTTCAGTTTAAAAATAAATAGCGATTCCACCGACGTGAACCAAAGGAAAGAATGTGTACTAATGGGTCATGTTTAGATTCCTGGTAGCAGGGGGAAGTATTTTTCAGAAATCAAACTGTAGGGTGTGCAGGTTTAATTAATGGATTAAAAAATAAATGTTGTAGGTTAAAAAAAATAAATACCCTTCTTTAGGCACAGGGGATATAACAAGCCTTGTTGGAAATGAGTGTTCCTTCAGCAGCACTATTTTGATGTACCACACCACACTGACTCTTCAGCCAGTAATGGAAAGGAAAGGAGAGCCAGTCAAGTGATTTGGTCCCTGGAATGGGGCCTAGGGGACCTTGAATTGCCAGCTCTGACTTGGAGTCCCTGCATTTCCCCAGGCAGATTAACTGCATTTCTGTTTCACATCTTAATCAGTGAGGTGGAAACATTTCTACATTTTGTTCACTCAAGGTATATCCACAGTGCATGGTGGAGCAGGCTGCAGGTTTCCCAGGTTAGCAAACACCAAGCAGAATATCCCATAAAAACCCTATGGAGCGGGCTGCAGGTTTCCCAGGTTAGCAGACACCAAGCAGAATATCCCATAAAAACCCTATAAACATCCCTCTGAACTTGTGAGCTGTGGGGCCATTTAACTGCAGCCGCAGATGGACTGCTGGTCTCTGAGTCCCTGAACTTGTGAGCTGTGGAGCCATTTAATTGCAGCCGCAGATGGACTGCTGGTCTCTGAGCTGGGCGCACATCCCGATTGACCTGTCTGTACAGACAGTAGAGTACTTGATGCTGGGACATTTGCTTTCAATGTGTTTGTGCAGTTCTTAGCAATATGTATTTCTGATTTCAGTTGTGGCTTTTCACCCCAAATCTTATTAAGGCAAATTTAATGCATAGTTCAGCTACATATTACATTTATAATTTTCCTGCAGCATATTTTCTCCTATTTCATTGTTCAAATGGAGTCTCTTTCATCTCTTTCTTCAAGGGAAAAAAAAAAATTATTAGCTTATTTATTTCAAATTGTTTCTCATATTAGTTTCTCCCTTTTTTAGAGCTCTTTAACCTTATTTTCTGGGACCAGTGCTCAGAGTGGAGTGTGAAAGGATGACAGAACTGTCTCTAAGCCTCAAGCTCCTCTCTGCAGCCAACTAGTACAGTTAGTGTGCACCTGATAGTGACAGAAGATGCCTTTCTCTCACTTTGTGCCTCATTCAATGCCGTTAGTGTCCTTTAAGGCACTTTTGATTGCAGTATGCAGTGTTGCATTTCCTCTTTCTTCCCATCCTGTTTACCTATTTATCCTGCTGCCTGGAGAGCCGCTGGGGTCTCTTGATATACATGCAGAGCCCACAAAGAATTGAAGTATATTTTAAGGAATAAACAGGAAAATCTTGAAGCTGGCATTCAGTGGTACTTCACTCTTTTCAGTGCCCCGCTAATGCCACAATGAAGTCTAAAATTATCCCATTGTAGGAGAGTGGCTGTTGCGTGCATGGTTATATGACGTATGGGCATAGCTTGGATTGCTTTGTTCATCATGGATGAGTTTTTCCACGTGCCTGAATTGTTCAAGTCTTTATTGTGTGATTTGTCATCTGAAATATGAGTCTAAGTGGCTGCTAGAAATTTAGTTTGGCTGTGAGGTAGTTTGAAACAGCTCATTTGTCAGGCACAATTCGCCTCTAGTGAAGCCATGTTGGGTGTCACCAGTCACCTCCTTATTTTCCATGTGCCTTAGCATAGTGTCCAGGAGGATCTGCTCCGTGATCTTGCCAGGCACAGAGGTGAGACTGTCCACATAGCCCGGAGTATCCTGGGAAAATCACATGGAAGAGGGGTGGGATTTTGCACTGAGACAGGAAACATGGGGCATCCCTAATTTATGTAGGTGCATACGAACCCTGAAACTCCCGGGTGCCTCACAGAGGGGAACAGAGGCAGCAGTAACTGTTCACTTACAGAAATGAAGTCCCAGAGTTGATCACGCTGGGTGAGCCACAGCAGTCCTATCCTGTCACCTTGGGTCACTGGTGATCATAGTTCCTAACTCTAGTGTTTTTGATGGGGGAGATGAGGGTAAATGGAGGTGCTAAAATCAAAATGATTTATTAAACAATTTAGCAAAGCATATTTTAAGCTGAAAGTCCAGTTGTTTTTCATTGCTCACTTACTTGGTTTGTTTAAACTCAGCCTAGGAACAAAAGCTGTACCTGCAGCTAGAGGGGAAAGCAAAGCTTTGCTTCGGATTTCTGCTTTAGCCCTGCAGCTGTATCAGTTGTGTGAAACAGCATCCTTCTCAGTGTGCAACTTCCCATCTCACCTAAAATGTGCCTTAAATATTTTAGACTTGCAGAACATTCCTCTTATGAAAGAAAGGCACACTTAAATGATCGTATAGTGATCCCATGAGGTCTGTGACTTTTTCGTTAATTACTCTAATCTGATGCAATGGAGGAAAGTGTTCCACTAAACAGTAGTATAACTCGATATTTGGAGTTGCTTGGATAGCTGAATTTCAGCGATGATTTTCCCTAGATATTGCTGTCATGTCAGCTATTTATTTGTACAGGCTTTTCAATTTGTGCTAATCATTGTGCTATTTCAGTGTTGTAAACACAGTTGCTGTGGCGTTGTAACATTGTTGAAATAAGGGGAATTTTTTTTGGCAAACTAGAAAGTTTGAGGTGAAAATTATTTGCCTTACTGTAAAGCAGCATATAAACTGAATGGTAATACAGCTTTGTATGAGCTGTTCAAAATAAAAAAGTTGTAAAAAACAACTGCTTATAGTAAATTGAAAACAAAATTGTTTAAATGCAGTTGAGATATCTGCATATTCACATCAGTAACAAGAAGCTCTTCACTTCTAATGTAAAACCCAGCTTTTCCATAGTGTTTATGCTACTTCAGGAACTTTTATTTCCTTTATTTCTCTAGTGATACAGATCTGTAGCAATTATATGTGGAAAAAGTATGGAGAGATTACATGTGAGCAGGGATATATCTCCCATGTGATGACTATTTTTGCTTTTGTGAAACATAACTTATGACCCCGGCTACTTTTGTTCTGCCTTCAAACTCCCATCTGATTTCGTCTTTCTCTCACTTGGATGCAAAGAAGAAAAAAGAGTGACTTGTAAGCTCTCACTCCTGTTAACATGCAGACCACCATTTAAGAAATACTTTATTTAAATGTTTCTGACTTGGAATAATTCGGTCTGTTTGTCCCTCATTACACCTTTTTGTGTTCATCCCGTGCAGCGAGGGTTGCTTGCGCTAAACACCAGGATATTCCTCTTGCTGTCACCCAAGGCACAGCATGCTGATGGCTGGTGTCCCCCACACCAGAGTCGATTACAGACTGTTTTTCTGTGAAATGATTTGGTTCCTCTCAGAAATGAAGTCACCAAAAAGACCCTGGATCAGAATAGCACTATTGTGAGGACTCTGTATGCTCTCTCACAAAGCCTAGCAGAAGTGTGAGGGTATTGTGATAATTGCCGACGGTCAGCAGTGCGTCTCCAGAGCTACATGGCTGAGATGAAAGGAAACAGAAACTTAACAGGGATAAAAGTGTATCTCTGAGTACAGTACAGCCCGGCATCAGCCGGCAAGGTCATCATTCAGTCCTGGAAAGGACAGATCTGATAGAGAACCAAAGAGGGACGTTTCCTACCCCTGCAAGTGCTGCTGCATGCCCTGGTAAAAGTTTTTGGCAGATAAACAGTCTTCACTCCTTGTAATTATGAGAACCAGTATATGGAAAATATAAAAGATACATATTGCTTTCTTGTTAGAATATTCTAGTGTGGTTTTTTTTTTTTTTTAATTTTAAAAAGGAGACCAGTTCCCTACCCTCCCATTGTACAAAGTCTCACCTCTGGTTAGTATTGTTCACATGTGGCTGCAGAGAGAGGGACCCAAATTCTGATACCCTGCACAAGCGTTATCCAGGGTCCTTGAAAGATCTGCTGTGATGACAAATGGCTTCTTGTAGTTTTCTGCCAGGACAAGAAGGGCAGAGCAATAGGATATCATTAAATGCTCTTGAGTTGTCTTAGCAATGTAAGACCCTGCTGTGTCTTAGGGATCTTCAGAGCTGATGGCCTGGATTTACTGAATCTTATATATGCCACAAGGTGCAGTCAAAACTGTTGAGACAGATCCATGTGAAAACATGAAACCTTACTACTTGAAGTCACTTGGCAGGTTAAACCAGGAGGAGCTGTACGCTGCTATGAGCAGCAAGGGGGCCTATGGTATGCAGTCCTGGGGCCTTCCATCCCACCTTTCCTGTGAAACGGTAGGAACTCTGAACCCCGAAATGCATTGCTCTTCACTCTGTAGACCTGGAGATGACCTGCAAGCAAACTGCTCTTCAGGATCTGTGATGATGCATCCTCATAAGCATAACAAGAAACAAAGTCGGCAGGAGAAGGAATCACTTTGCCTCGTTAAAAAAGTAACTGGAGAACAGTGTCAAGTTTCCAAAAAACAGAAGTCCCGGGTCAGGCATACCTGAAAGCTTGTCCATGGATCCTAGTTAGAACCTTGTCTTGGTTTGAGTAAAATTTTCTTTCTCTTCATAAAGCTCGGTCACTTTACAACCGTCTCAGGGAGCTGCGCCTATTCATCACACAGCTGGTACATCACAGTTTCTGGGACACAGCAGCACAGATATTTATTTTCCCATGCCTAGAAATTCGCATGCAGATAGTGAGGGACTTATGCTACTGCTTCCTTCTCATCCATTGTTAAGCCTGTCTCAGAGGGCACCGTGCCTGTGGCCGTGGTTAGCGAGTTCAGCGTGTCTGATGCAGCTCAGACACGAGGGAGGCAGTGCCTGGAGGAGCTCAGGAGCCCGCTGCAGCTGCCTCCAAGGCTGTGAATCCAGCTGCTTTGGCCAAGTGAAAGACCAGTCTGTGATGATTTCGGACGTTTCACTGTATTTATTGAGCTCCTAAAGGCTGTGGTGGTGTAAGGGGAGATGATCCCTCCATCCGCGGTTGTGTGCTGTGCCTTTATAAGAGGCGTGGCAGCATGGGCTGTGTCGGGCACGCCGTGTCCTTGGTCGTGGTAGGATGAGTCAGCTCTCCTGAAGAGGCAGTCAGTGTCTCTGAGTAAACCTCCCAGGTCTGAAGTCTTGTGGTTGTTTAGCTCTATTTTTAGCATGACCCAGAGAGACTCTGAGGAGGAGGTAGCACAGTGAAAGTGCCTCTGTGTTAATGTTAAGTCTGTGCTAATGCTGGTTCCCCACCAGCAGCGGGTTCAGGGCTTGGGTTTGCACAGTTTGTGGTGGCTGTTGGAAGCTTTTCTGAATTCACCTTCAAGTAAATTTCCTTGAGCCAAGTGAGCTTAGGGGCCACAACTTTATTCTTTAAATGTGTTAAGATGTAATTGTCTAGACAACAAGTGACTGTAGCTTGTTTTAATTAGTTAAGCAAAAAGCATTCATCTTATCCTGATGCTGTGCAGACACCTGAGCAGGATTTCCTAGAATCTTGGGAACATCTGTGCTTTCTCTGTTTCTCATGGTGGCTAAAGAGGAATGGTACGCAGTGTTTCTGTGTCTGATCTCTTGGGCTGGAAGGAGTGAAATTACCGATAAACAGTTGGCTCATAGTTGTATCTCAAGGGCAGGATATTCCCCCTGCTAACTGGGAGAAAGGGGGAGAATTCTTCTGACCAGGTTCAGAGGACATGTGTCTCCAATCATGAAAGCATAATCTCCTGATGATTCCGAAGAATTTTTGCTCAGAGACATTTAAGCACTTATAAATATTTTCTCATAAAGAAAAGCTTATAATATATCTCCCAAATGTCTACCACTGCCCTTTGAAATGTGACAAAGACCCTGTGGGCACAGTTCTCTGCTCAGACATTGTATCTGTGCAGCAGTCCCCACCATAAATCTTGTGGTTTTACTGTGAAGTCCCATGCACAGAAATACAAAATATGCATCAGAGACTGCATTGCAGGTAGAGGAGACAGGCTTAGCTTTCTATGAAAACAAAAATGACAAATATTGAATAGTTTCCAGGAGTCCAGGAGCTGGCATTTTCTTTGAGTGGTTCCAGTGCCAAGTTGATTTGTAAACTGGGACTTTGCTGGTCTTTATGCACCATTGTGGAGTTTTAATTTGTCTATTTATTGTTAAGTATCACGTATAGTTTTGTTTTTAGTGAAAAACTACTATAAGGGTACGTGAGAACAAGTAATAGGTTCTACAGTGACCCTGGCTCCGTTGCAAATTGCACCTTCTGACCCTAATTTCTGACCCTGCATCATCCACAAAGAGCTTTGCTCAGTTGGGTGTGCACCCCTGTCTCCCATTTTTGCTCCTGCAACAGTCTCCAAAGCGTGGTTGGTGGCCTGCTTGCTGTGATCTACTCACGAATTTGCGTGTTGTTATATAAGTCGTGTGAAAAGGACTGATCTGGCTGTCATTAAATATTTTCCTGCTCGCACTGACGTTCATCATGGTTTGCAACTGTAGTAGCCAAAGAGGTCTCTGTGTCACTGGAAGGGAAAAAGAAAGTGGGTCTCTCAAAACTGGAGGCACTATAGAACAATTACATCAACTCATGACATAAAGGAGAGACAGTCTGAGAGCCCGGTGGGTTTGTTTCACATCATAGCAGTGAATTTATAATTGGGAACTATATTTGATACATTTTTTTCCATAGTACAGCTTGGTTTTGTGTCATTCTCATTAAATCAAGGTGACCAAGGGCTGAGCTTTTTTATAAGACTGCCACACGTAAGTGGGAGAGACAGTGCCTGACCCCGAAAGATCACAGTCAGAATGCATCAGACACATGAAAAGTCAGAAGGAAAAGAGGTGCAGAGAGAGCAAGTAACTTCCCCAAGCTCACACAAAAAGTATCAGAGTCTGGACTGTACCATAACTGACGTGCCACTAACCTTCCCCAGGTTTTGGACAATTTGCTGACAGCACCTATCCAAGCAGGGCTCCTCGCCGTGAGCTGGGCTCCAGAGAGCTATCCTCTCTAAGCGTGCATTATGTTGGGAACAGTAATATAGTGACCGTGTCTAACAAAACTAAAGCATTTTTTCAGCCCATCAGCGCAATGGTGAGATCAGTCTGCAGGCTCTGAAAATGAATTTAAACAGCACTGACACTGTCAGACATGATTTGAAGTGACTGTGTATTTTGTGCCTCACTTCGCAAGGCCAAGATGATGATGATTTCTTGTATTGTCTGTAACACGACTAGGTCACTTCTTGCCCACTCATATCTCTGGTCATTTCAGTTAGGGCAACAGTCATTGCCAATATCAAGTCTAGTTCTGAAAGATCTATGCCAGCTTCCCCATAATTTTTGTTCCAGTAATTGAAATGCTTTCAGATCTGAACAGAGACGGGCAGTTTTCAAAGTTAGGAATAAGAATAGGGTTTTTGTTTTGCTCTGTTTTTATTTTATCAAGATTAATCTCTGTGTGGAAGAAGTAAAATGAAAATTTGGTGGGGAATTTTCTACCTAACTATGGTTATAAAAAGAAAGTTTGGACTGCACTGCAAATATGTATTTTCTGCACCTGCCTGCTGGAGCCTGCAATCAGCTCTTTTATGGATTCCTGGAAGATACAAACAACTGTTCTTTAGAGCATGACTTGAACATCTTAATGTTAACACATTCCTTTTTCCTTTCTCTCGTTTTTTTTTCAGATCGAATATAAGCTTTGCAATGGGTCTGACAAAGAGTGTGTGTCTCCCACAGCCAAATTCACGAAGAAGGAAACACTGAAGGTATGCGCAAAGCAGCCAAGTCAGTGTCAGCTGACTTGCTTTTACAAAACGAGGAGTACCTTCCAAACAAACCATTGGGAACTACTCTGAGTCATTTCCCAAGACCCAGAGAAACCTCCTACTCTTCCAGGACTCATTATAGACCAAGGACATTTATGGGCGTTATATACAGGATTAGATTATATACTGCAAACAGAACAAATCTATGTAATTATTTCACTCCGTTCATATGTTCCAGAGCCATTAGGCACCTCAAGAGGATTGTAATCCTTCCTTGGTCTTGTTAAGAGGCGTATGCCTAGGCAGTCTGAGCAAATTATTGCTTGAACACTTGCTTGTCTACCAAACCAAAAGTATAAATAATTTGGTTTGGGTGAAATTAGATTTACTCTCTTTAATTTGAGGGGTGGGGAGGTCTACCCCTTCAGTCATTCAGACTCTTTCCATTCCCCCCAAAGAAAAGCCAAATTAATGTTTAGTGGAACTTCAGGAGCAAAGAAAATGCCTGCTATCTCGTTATGTTTTTGTTCTTCCTTGTGTTCATTTCTGGGGAAGCTGTGCTGGGTCAAGTTTTAGCTGTGCTATACATAGCTGACCTTAATGTATTTTGTTCTTTTCTCCCCAAAAGAGGCCATGATAACAGCTGCAGTATTTTCTCTGCTGTCAACCAGGTACAAAAGAAAAATTACAGACAGGAGAAAAAGAGAGCTACCAAACAACTCTTCAGTGCTCTGAAGGATCCCAGTGTGGTGATCACAGCAGACTGGCTGAAGGTATTTAATACAGACCATTACTACCAAGGCCATTGGAAAAAATAAGTGAGAAGTAGTTGATGTGTCTAAGACTTATGCACTAGCACTTTTTTTGAGTGAAGGAAGACTGGATAATTTTGAGTTGAAGTTGCTGTAAAGCCGTACTTAAATTACTGCTATAAAAGTGTAAAAGCTATCTAGTGGAGTCCCCCAGGGTTCAGTATTGGGACCAGTGCTGTTCAATATATTCATCAACGACTTTATTTACTTTCCATCTTACCTGACTCAATCCATCTATTCCGTGCCTTTAAGTAGGAACAAGGTCTCAAAAAGTACATAGTACAAAAGGAAGGGATGAAGTTTCTTTCTTTCTTCCTCTCTGAAAGAGTCTTCTGCACTTTTCCCATAGCTGTGTTTTTGTACTGAAGAGGGAATAGACAGAGTAACAGCCGGGAAATGGGCTGTTACAGCTTGTTCTATTGACAATTGGATTTTCTGTTGTCACAACACAGAACAAAACATATTAGACCTGATGACAACTGTAATTTCTCCCTGTGCAAAGATTTGACTAGTGACAGCTTCTCATTGAAGTCCTGAAACTATGTATATGGCAAAATAAATTTGGATTGACATCGAGAGATGTTACCTTTGAGCACTGTTTTTCTCCTCATTTGGGGCCATTTAGTCTTCTTGCCTAATAGTGAATTGGTTGCCCCTTTTATAATGGCAAAACTTAATTTCCAAACAGCACCAAACACATAGCTCTTTTTTTGTAATAAAACAAAACAAAAAACAACTTGGGGATTTCGTGAAACAATCCAATAGCATTTGACCAGTGTGAAAAACCTCCAACATTGTTTTACAATCAGTGTTAAAGGCTAGAAAAATGAGATGTGTGTGGTTTATTTGAGAAATTAGGTTGGCAACAAAATATTTTCATAGTGTTTAGTGCTGATGGTAGATAAATACTGAGATTTTTGTAAATAAAAAATACCTGTTGCATGTCTGCTGTGGCTGGAAATTTCTGGTTCAGCAACAAATGAAATAATGATGGGTCACAAAAACAGAACACTGACACAAAACTTGAGGTTTGGCCTATGTGCAATGAAGACAAGAAGAACCTTAGGCAAAATCTAACCTTACTGAGAAACTTCCCTGTTCTTAAAGCTGTTATCAGATTTAATGTCTTCTGTACAAGAGAGAGCCTGCATTGAGCTTGACAGAGAAGTAAACCAGCTGGAGAAGGTGCTTTCAAAAATGGGGTATTTGACAAAATCCATTAATAGCTCTGTTCTGCAGAACACTATTAAAATGACTTCTAAGTCAAGTTAGACTAGCTATAACATCTTTCTGTGCAATGTTCTAATTGCCGTGTCCTCGGTGATTATTAACAAATCACTCTCACATGGGCCAGCAGTGCTGGCTGCCTAAGAAAGTAGGCAAGCTGCTAACAGTAAGCCAGTAATAAAGATATGAAGACTAGATTCTGATAGCCAGATTTACAAGGTCTGGGAGTTTGCTGTGAGACTAAGACTGTTCAGATAATGCAGTGCATTTTCCTATCGAAGTGTGTCGTAGTGTGGCCTTGAGAGAAACGTGTACTGGAAATCTTGTATAAATGCTGAATAAATGCTGTTTTTCTTTTAAGGAGCAATATAAATGCAACTTTTTGTTCTCTCCCTGCTTCCCTTCAGATTCGTGGGACTCTGAAGAGTTGGACCAAGCTGTGGTGTGTTCTGAAACCAGGAGTGCTGCTGATTTATAAGACGCCAAAGATAGGACAGTGGGTTGGGACAATCTTGCTCCATTCTTGTGAGCTGATCGAGAGACCCTCCAAAAAGGATGGCTTCTGTTTTAAGCTTTTTCATCCTTTGGATCAGTCAATCTGGGCTGTAAAGGTAACAATCCTGATGGGTCAGACAATCTCTTCTTGGTCGCCAAAGTGCCTGAGCACTAGTATTATCTAGTACTGATATTATCTGGATTTGCAGTTATTAAGTTGCTGTTAGTGATGGTGAATTGACTGCATAAAAAGATTAAAGACACCGAAGCTTGGCCGTGATATGACATCAAAGGAATGTGGTGCATTGTGATTAGCTATAACTGTGTCATTCTTGGTGTAGAGATGCATGCATACGCTGAGGAAAGGGGAAACATGTTAGTGCAGGAAAAAAGATCAGTTACCTAGAAGCTATAGCAAGCCATCTTTGAATAGAGATGAGGAATAGACCCAGTTAACAGACTTCCCCAAAACAAGGACACACAAAGCACCAAATGCTTTGCACAGCACTGGAAGAGCTCTGGCAAAGTGACAAAAAAAACCAGATTTTTTTTTTTCTAATGCCTCTGAGGTTTGGGTTTGTTTGTGATGGACGTGGAACTCAGTGATCTGCTTAAGCCTTGACTGTTCCACAAAAGTGTGACTTTGGATAGGTTGCCTTAATTTTCTCTTTTTTGAAATGGAAATAGCAAGGTTTTCTCACCTTCACTTTGAGTTGTTCTTCAGTCTGTTATTACTCACCGGCTGAGACAGTCTCTTCCTGTACACACAGTAGCTCCTGCAGCGACTTCTGGATCTCCCTGTAATGCAAATGATTAATAGTTTCTCACAATTCTTAAAATAACTCCCTGCAAATTTTAAAGAGCTGCATTTCTTTTTCTTCTTTCCTTTAAGAAAAGGCAAAAAGAAGAAAAACTATCTAATGACTGTGAGCAAAAAGGAAGATCCCAGTACCTCCTGAGAGACACTGAGAGCAACATCTGTTGGATACCCTGAAGACAAAACTTAAATGTTCTTGAGCTCTTGCTTCCCCGTTCAAAATGGTGACTCAGCAGAGTTATTGCCGATATAAATTCTCTAGGAGACATCACCAGCGTAAGCAAGGCATTATAGGCTAGTGCCTTGCTGCAGAGTCAATCTACTTAGAAAGACCCGTGCAAGAGTGAGAAAGGTGTTTGTCATTGGCATCAGAAGATGTAACAAAACGGAGGGGAGGCCCTGTAGGAGCAGATCAAGCAGGGTCACTACTGCTCATCCCTGCAGTTAACTGAACAGTTATAAACACAGCTATACAGTCACTATAAAAAGTCTTGCAATTTTAGTAAGGTAGGAGGACAGAATTAAAATTAACCTGAACAACCAGGAGTAAGAGCTGCTATGTTCTGACAGTAGCTCAGCTCTGATCTGTGCTTAGATCCATTGCTTTCGCTTTAAGTCCCGAACATTTCATTGCTACCTTGCTGCTTACTCAGTTCTGAGACTTTTGATGCTTTTTAATTCCAAGCATGCACCTAAGAAGGTTGTCAATCATTTGCTGTCCATCAACAAAAAAAAATTCCTTGTGACTTGGCAGGTCAACTGAATTCTTCTGAGAACACAGTCAGGAGAGGCAGTGAAAAAGTAGAATCAAAAGTGCAGTCAGGTACCGAAAAGTAATGTTGCTGACAGATCTGAAGTGTTGTGCTAGAATGCCCTTCCCTTGCTGTGAGTCATCCAAAAGAAAGAGGAGTTTCTGTCAATATGTGTATGTATTTGTGCGTGTGTATATATATCTAATTCTTGTGTCTCTTGAGAAAATACATGACAGAAATAGGAATTAGTGTATTAAATATGAAGGGAATATATCTCTGAAAATGTTTGTGTACTACAGGAAGTCCCAAAAGATTTGAATTTTAAAGTCAAATTAATACTCTAACTCACTTGAGACAGATATTTAGAAACCTACATTTGAGCTCCATAGTAGGATATTTCCTGAAACCCGAGTTCAGCCTGGATTGTTAACGTGTGATAGATGCTTCCAGCCATAAGGTGAACCCCAAAATACGCATCAAGAAGAAATCCACCCATGAACTGCTTGGTGTCAAAGAAGCTGTCTGCACTCTGACAACAGTTTGAGGCTGAAACTGCTAAAAATACGGTTTCATTTTATGTCATTTCATGGCCTTCTTTTAAAGCCACTGGAGCAGAATTGACTGATCTAAATGGGCTGTGTGTAACTGTGCAAAGCTAGCCCATTTCTCATGAAATATAGATTAGCCTGAGCTTAAGCAAAACCCTCAAGTTACTGTCCCTCATGATAGAAGTAAGATCTGGCTAAACAACTTTCACTTTTGGCTAAAATGGCTTGTGAAATTCTCAAGGGTTTTCCAGACTGGAGCTGATGGTCTGGCTTTGACTCACACCAGGGATTAAATTTGATGTGCAGGCATTTAACTTCTGCTAGAGCAGGATGAAGTTTTGGGGTGCCTTTCAAAAGGTAGGGAGGTAAGATTTAAGACCTTTACCTATAGTTGAAAGCTAAATATATGCACCAGGGAACTGGTTTTCCTATAAAACTCTCTGGTGTCTAGACCTATCTTAGAAGCAGATGAGGGGAGGGAGAGAGCCCTTTATTCTGCACTGCTTCCCTGGCTTTTCGAGAGTTTTAGCCTGAAACTCCTGCACAGTGCAGATCAATTAGACCTTTTACTCATTTGCTCTGCCCAGGCCTTTGTAAGCCCAAGGCCAGAACCACCAAGGCCTCAAGATCAGTCAGCAGCACAAGCAGCAGTAAGAAATTCTTCCCCCGCAAAGTCCGAACACTGCCGCAGAGGCGCTTTGTCCATCGTGGGAAGGCAGTGTGATCCCACGCTGCTTCAGGGAAGAGACTTTTTGCCGAGACAGACTGGGGAATTCAACTAGTCATTACTGTAAGGGTGTGGATATCTGTGCTCTTGCTTTGCAGAGGGAGTGCAGGGCTATCAGCCGGCAGGGTTTGCCTGGCTGTCCCAAAAATATGTCCTGGAATAGTGTGGATTTCCCTTTGAGCTTGCTCAGAAGCTAGCTGAACAGCGTGGTGTGGGAAGGCTTTTATTGGCTGCAGCTTGTTCTGACATTTATTTAGAGCGCTAAATGAGTTGGGGTCAGACCCACTGAATCTGGGAAGATATATAATTCGGATTTCATTGATTTTAAGAACTTTGACTTATTCCTTTAAGGAAAAAAGTCCTACTAATGGGCTCGTGCTGCTGCTTTTACAGTTGTTTGTTGTGCTCCATAATACATCACAGTTAGTTTGATCTCCATCCTCACAGTTATCCACAGTACTGTTAATGAAAGGGAATTTTTACCCATTTTTTAAGCTTTGTTTTATGACTTTCGAAGACTAGAAGTCTTGTCATACTATCTGAACCAGTGTGAGTCCACTCCATTTTTCAAAGCCTAATCAGCCTCTATTTGAGAAAGCCTTTTGAGTCTCAAATCAAATTCAAAGACAGGAATTATCTGAAGATCATAGAATCGTAGAATCACAGAACGGCCTGGGTTGATAAGGACCTCAAAGATCATCGAGTTTCAACCCCCCTGCTGTGGGCAGGGTTGCCAGGCACTAGAGCAGGCTGCCCAGGGCCCATCCAGCCTGGCCTTGAATGCCTCCAGGGATGGGGCAGCCACAGATGATCCTGTCTTAGCTGTACTGTCTGGAGGCTGCAGCTGAGCTCCGGGTCATAGTGCAGCAGGGATAACGTTGACTTGGAGTGAGAGATGGTAATTGTCTTGGAGGTGTTAGACCCTAGACAGGCATGATGCTCAAAGGCTGGGAGACAGAAAGCATCATTATCTCTGCCGTGCAGATGCAGAACCTCATTTACTCTGTGGAGTTATTGACTTTATTGTTATGGCCTCCTCTCTTTTCTTCTTCTCTTCTTTCTGTGAGAAACAGCCATGTATGAGCATGCCTTGCTACTGAGTACATTTCCTTGACAGAGTGACCTGGCTGCTCCTTGTGTTTATCCACATGCCTAAATGTCTGTTAAAATCTTGTCTTTTCTCCCCCCTTTTTAAAATAACGATTCTCTCGATCTGTACTGTTTGGTTGTGGGGTTTTTCCTCCAACAGAGCAAATACAAGGCTCTGCACTGAAAACAGATTTAATGGTGTTATCAACAGTTCTCGAACACCATGCTCAGCTGCAAGCTACTGAAAGGAAAAATGCCATTGGGAATGATGCCTGATTGCATTAATGTCGCTAGTAATGTCTTAAGCTTCTCTGCTCTGGTTTACTAATCAAATTTCTACTTTGCCAGTCCTGACTATTAAGCCTTTAAACAGTCTTAATTTTGTGAACCTCTTGTGGGAGAGGGGAGGGGAAGAAGAAGTAACAAGGATCCCAGTTAATCCTGGCAACAGAACCCCACAGATGTGAAGATAAGAAGCTAGACTGGAGACTGCTGTCTTCTCAGCACCGCATCTTCATGGCATAGACTCCGATACAGTTTGATGCTTGTCCTATGCTTGTTTGCACTCTTCCTTCTTTACAAACTTTGGTTTCCTGAGTGGAACTTAAAAACAAAAATCGCAATGAGACCACCATTTAACTATCAGACAGGATGCAGCAGCAGTTTTCTGTAGCAGTCAGAGTTTCCCTGCTTACAGACTAATGCCAGGGAGAAGTCCTTCTTTCAAGGAGCAAGATGGGATACTATAAAGGCCCAGGTAAGGGAGGAGAGTCATACTCAAACTGCAAAAATGTGCTTATGGATTTTCAGCATTGTGTGGTATTCTCTAGAAACTCAAGGAAATCTGTGTTTGAGCATCGTGGAGAAACTGCTTGTTCCACCCTGCAGCTGGCATAGTGGTCATGCGAGTATTGGTGATGTTTTCTGCTCTGCATTTGTTGCTGACATGATGTCTGCATATTTGAAAAAGGATCTGCTTTCATGTTGTTTGTTATGGAGAAGGGACTGGAAGAGGCTGAGTCACTTTGGAAGTGCAAGGGAGAAGGAGGGACTCCTGTTTATTTCAGCCAGGTCATGGCATAAAATCCATACCGTGAGGAGTATGAAGCTGTGCTCACCAGGTACAGGAACTACTTTTTCTTAGCAGCTTCTGGAGCTCAAGAGAGGAGAATACAGGGAGGAGATCAAGGTGGAAGCCTGTGGTTCTGCTCAAAGAAGTGCCTAATCTGAGATGGACTCTGCCTCCCTGGGAATCATGTCTGGAGGGCCATGCTGAAGGGATTGTGGCAGGATGTTTACAAGACACTATAATCTTTTTTGCCACCACTCCTAAACTAAAGGCAACATAAACAAGCAAAGCCTGTTTTGGTTAATGCCTGAAGTGGCTGTCACCCCAGGCACCACGGCACAAAGGCTCTGGATGTAGAGGTGAAGGGCTGCAACCCTGCAGCACACGCCCATGCTGGGAGACCTTTGGTCCTCAGCCTGTGGTTTCCCTGTCTGCTCCTGTCCCACAGACAGGTTTGCAGGATGGAGCTTCTCCTTTCTTTTCTTCCAGAAAAGCTGCCGTTACCTCTGTGCTAGAGGCATTCACAGCACAAGGTGTGGGCTCTGACACTTTTATGGTGACACATAAAGGGTGTTTCATCGCTGGTGTGTCAGGCTGCAGACAGGCTCGACGTGCACAGCATGGAACAGCCCATTCAGGTGTTATATAAAGATGGTTTATAGCAGGTATGTGACTGGTTTTGTCCCAAGTGGCAGGAATGAGATCCTTCCATTCCCGAGGATCCAAATAAACAGAGTGGGTTTTGGGCATAGATTAGACCAAGCCCCATTTGCATCAGAGCTCATTACTGCTTTGGCACTGCAGCAGCAATATCGTGATTATTAATGAATCTCTCTAAATTACTCCATCTGCTCCTTCCTTCTTCCTGTCACAAATATACACACTGCCCAGGATGGGTAGAAAGGCGTTGAGCAGTCCATTGCATCTTCTGTGCCTTACATCTTTTTGTCTGTGTGCATTTACAGGGCCCAAAGGGAGAAAATGTTGGTTCGATCACTCAGCCTCTTCCCAGCAGCTACTTGATTTTCAGAGCAGCCTCCGAATCAGATGGTAAGTTTTGGTCTTCGTTTGCTTTTTCCAGATTGAATATTCTGTGCTAGTTAAGAAGATGTGTTGATGCAAAAAAAATTGGTACGTATAGGAAGAAATGGCAGCTCACCCAGCTTGAGATGCTGTTCATCGGCAATGGTCAGAAGAGATTAAGCAGACTAGAGGCACCTTTAATTTTCCTCACTGAATAGACACCTTTCTGGCCATGTGTGTGGAAGAAGGACCCTAGGCTTGTAGCTGGGGAAAAAACACTAGGTCAATATATGCTACAGGATGAAAGAAGTTGATCCCAAAATTGGCATGAGAGGGGGGCTTAACTGTTTCCTCAGTTCAGCAGAGACTTTAGTGGGTTATCTGCTTATGTCTTACACTGGGTGGGGATCTGTTGGAGGAAAATGGCATAGTAATATTGAAGAACTGTTGATAGATGTCTCTCAACCACCACTTGCTGTGCCATGGTTTACAGTATAGCAGGTCCAGATACTGGTGACTCCACATCGAAAATACTATTCTGGGAATTCACAAAATTATGGAAGGTAAATTTAGGTCAATGTGTAACAGGCATGCCAGCTTGCTGTGTGAAAATCTCTATAGACGACTTTAGCGGACCTAAAATATCTGTGATTTATAAGTAGATAAGAAGATTAAAAACATGTTTTCATTCCATTTGACCTTCAGACTACTGTAATTTTTTTTTTTTTGCCATAGCAAATTAACCCAGGCTGTTCATTTTATGGATATGTTTCACCTACCCCACCAAGGGTGCTCATGTAGCCCATGTGCTCCTTTGGGATTTTTTTATGGAGCACTGTGGGCTTTGGGACAGGTTTAAACTTTTTTTTTATGGAGCACTGTGGTCCAGTGGTTAAGTTTTACATAGTTCTAAAGGCTGGAAGTGGGACAATGCCAAATGCACCTTTGACATGGCACTTAGAATAGGAGGAAACCTTTCATTACAGGCTTGGTGTGCTGCTCTTCCTACTGCTGTTCAGAGTGAGGGATGCCACCTCAACACTGAAAGCTGCTTGCAGGTGCCAATGTAGTGAAATGGTGTGAAATTAAGTGGAACTGTAGAGCTGTAGAAAGAAACACATCTGTTGAGTATTGTGCTTTTGGAGTTTACAGAACAGTTCAGCTTATTTGTGTAAAGAAATACAGGATTCCAACCTGACTTCAAATATCACCTGTCTAGAAAGGGATAGATCGATACAGTCGTCTCTTGGGAACAAAAGAAAGTGGTGTTGGGTTAGAACTGCTAAATTACAGGCATTTCTAACCTTGGCTATACAGACAGCCCGCAGAATGGACATATGGAATGGTCTCACAGTGTTCTTAGGCAACCAAATAGCTTAAACAACTCTCTTGTAAATCCAGATTTTCTAAATTATTATTTCCTTAGAGATACATGTAACTTATCTTTCCATTAGCTTAATTAGAAAATGTGTGAAGGGACCAACATTGTCACTGTATGTGTTCAAGACAAATTCCTGTCTCATGAAGTACTTTTATTTCTGGCATTTCAGCTATCTTCTAAAGGAAAACTTCCATTCTGGTGGAAACCTAATGATTAAACATTAAAGCCAGCCTGGTAAAGAGACCTGTGGTGGGACTTCTGCTCTCTCTTTTTATGACGACTGGCATAGGCCAGTTATATGGAGTAGAATAGCTTTAGATTTGTTCTAGCTAGCCTTACCCATAAAGGCTCCCAAGCTAGCAATAGCTCCCAAGAGATCATCAGAGGTAAGACTTTTCTAGCTGTGATCTCATGTCTGGGTCATACACCACATGCTGAAAAAGCACAAAAGGAACCATACTGGCATATGAGAATTTTCAATATTTAAATGCCTGTGGGAAGCTTTCTGCCCAGTGAATTATTATGTCTCTGGTACCGTAAGAGCTTAAAATAGTGAGTTACTGGAACCTATTTATAAAGCCAAGATATTGGCCAAGATTCTTGGGAAGCATGCAGAGGCCAGGCAGATCAAAGTAGAGTTACTTTAGTATTTAATATGATTTTCCTTTACTTTGCTGATTCTGTACAGCAGGGTCTTAAGGTTAGATGGAAAACTAATGTGATCAGGAGAAGGAGGAGGAACTGAGATACCTCTCAATCAAGCGTTGTAAACATGTACGTAGAAAATAACTAGGGCTTTTGGTTAAGGATGAAATAGTGTATGCTCTTGAAGAGCACTAGCAATGCGCTAGAGCCACCTGCCAGGTCTGGAGTGCCCACATTGTGCCTGGTAGATCCTGAGAGCATGAGGAGGTGACCATGACAGCTGATGTGAAGCGTTGGGATCTGTCCATTTAGCAGCAGACTTTGCAAAAGAAAATTGGTATAATATTGCACCAGAAACATGAGCATGAGAACTGATGCAATTTTCAGACGAGTGAGAGTATTTGACTTCAGAGCTGAGGTCAGTGACCTGTACCTTCTGCAGGAACTGGAGGATGTGAATCTGCAGACAAGAGAGAAGAACAGCTTGTACACTCAGGCTCGCCTCCCTCCCAAACACAAGAGCTGTCCTGGTGTGGTGACTGTGCTGTGCTCCTTTGTTTGTTAGCCTTCCTGGGGGCAGTTTGGGGGTATCCGCTCCATTGAGCAGTGTAGACATGCTGACAAATGACCAGACACATGGGTGTGACACTCGGAGATGAGTGACTTGGAAATAGTATTAACGTCAGTGGGTGCTGTAAAACATAGCAGACAAGGACACAAGGAATAGAAACTGTTACATTTAAAGAAATCTGTATCAACTGCAGCAAATTAAAGTGTGTCCTTTGCAATTAATATAATTTGATTTTAAGCCCAGAAGACACTACTGAAATGGTTGTAGACTGTTATATAGCTTTACCTGTTGGAAAGAGGTGTCTCCAAGAGGGTGTACGCGAGTTTCTTTCATTTCTTTAATGCACTGGACAAACAGAGGATGCAGTTATGGTCAAGAGGTAAAATTAGCTACACTAGCTGACACAAGCAGGGCAGGTGGAATCTGTTCCCTTGCATAACGTTAGCGTATATTTGCAGTATGTTCACTTCTCCTCTGTAGATGTGGTATCGTGTGAATCTACGGCATCTCTGAGGAGGTGTCCTGACTGTATTCTTCTTAGCGCGGTCTCCCATGTTAGTAGTTGAAAATGAGCCACAGAGCACATTTGGCAAATTTAGCAGTAATTCATGGAGGCTTCTGACTTGCTGGGGAATATTGAGTGGCAGCATATGTTAGATGTATGCTTCTGCTATCCAGGCAACTATATCATGATCAGCAGCTACATGGCCTACTTTTTGTCTCAGCATTTCAGAATCCCTTTTTTTCTCTCTGCTGTACCATCTGTGACAGACTGTTGGTAGGATTTAAGGTCCTGAGTTCTGGACAGCCTGCGGAACCACTGCCAAGCTACAGTAGGCTTCCTGTTCACAGACCGCAGCAGCAGTCTGCTTTCTGATGTGTTTTATGGACATCTGGAAGGTCATGTCAACCCACAGGGCTCGTCAACCTGTACAAACACAGGGTCTCTCTTACCAGTTTCAGAAAAGAAGATTGCTTTTTCCAAACCGGTGACTGTGTATGCATTTCAGATTTATGCTGATGAGTGGCTTAGAATTACTAGTTTAAACCTGTCCCAAGCTTCCTGCCAGGACCATTATGGGGCTGCCCCTGAGATCTCTAAACCAGTGCCCTGGACCTCCTGAGCATTTTGAGTCACCTGCTGAAATCTCACAGTACAGATCTCTACCTTGCTACGGGCACTGCTACCAAAGGGGTTACTAGGGGAATTCAAAGTGGCAGATTACCAAGGGTTAAAGGCTTAACAGTGCAATTGTAAACCACACTTACTTACATTTTTTTCCTTATGTCTCTTATCTCTGTCAAGCGTGCCTTGGGTAGTCTCCCTTGCGTGATGTCAATGGGGTTGTGTGGAAACCGTGGCGGTCTGGCTTACAGTGTTGTTTCTTTGCTGGGCGTCTGGCCTTCTCCCAAAACCGATGATCTGATCTAGGGAGGAAATCAGATTATTGAAATAAGGGTCACGCACAGAAGCAATGAACCAGGAGGAAGATTGCAACTTGAAACCGAGTTCACAATGAAATATATCACTGGATCCTGGCAGTACTGGAAAAAATAGTCTTAGCTGTATGTCTGTCCTTCATATTCCTTAGACCTTTCACAGCAGTTTAAAATCCAGGCGTTTGCAACTAAACTTCATTTAGCTTGATGCATAAATTGCACCTGCAGCTAACTGAGAAATACTTGCATCTTGACAGCGAAAAGTGTAAGAACTCCTGCACGCAGGCACCCAAGTGGTTCAGCAAAATAACCAGTCAGCTGAATGCGATGACCTTAATGTTCACTGACTGAACCAAATCAGCCTCTTCCTCATCGCTCGTTGTTCGTGTGCACTTGGGCAGGAATTCCTTGTTTCCAGGTGACAGTCTGCTTCTGGTTGATTTTTAAAAGCATGTATCTTGTGAGGCACGATGCCAAAAGACTTCAATAATTCAAGAATAATGATATTCCTTTAGTGATGCCTCTCTGGAGGAACATATGCTTACCAGGTGTGAGGCTTTTGAAGTCTTAATTGCCAAGAGAGTCATCCCAGCCATTCTGTAGCTACAGGAATGCAGTGGAAAAAAAGTATAATCCCAGACCAGGATTTTGGTGTGCAGCGATGTGATTCCATCTCGAGCAGATTTCTGTTATTGGTGAGTGCTGAGAGAACATTGGCTGGCTCCTCTGTGATCAGCTGTTGCTAAATGTGGCAGATAGACTGGTATGTCAAATTGTGAGTTGTTCTAGGTGAGTGATGGTGACTGTGAAGAATTTCAAAGCTGAATAGCTTAGTGTTTTCAATACTGCCTCTTGGGGTTTTTTTCTGTGGGATATTGTTGTAATTTTAGATCTGTTCAAAGACTAGGACAGACTCGAGGTATTCCTCGAACTCAGCCTAGGTTAGCAGCATAAGTAACCTTCCATTGTCTGGGTTGGTTTTTTTTCCGAGGAGAGTAAATGGGTTTTGTCACTTGGTTTTAGTAGCTCCTTTTCTCTGTGGAAAAAAAAAAAAAGAGTTTGTGCAAGCACATGACTGCTCCTGTTCAGCCTTGCAGCCTCCAGGTTTCCGCATGGTGCCAGCAGTGCCCTGCAAACCCGGGAAGCATCCTGCAAGGAGCTGTAGAGATTCCCATTTGCACGGCTGGACTGCAGAGTCATCGCAAAGGACCAGAAAGTGCTTTTCCAGCCTGCTGTGCAAAGGACACGGAAGAAAGCACACGGAAGGTTTCAAAACGTGTGTGGGATGCATGTTCAGCTTTGGTTTTGCAACGTTAAGGCAACACAAGTCCTTTATTAGCTTTTTTTTCCCCATACACCTCTCAAGATGGAAGGAACTTTGGAACCCAGCTGTGTTTAACTGGTTTTTCAGTTTCCTTTTTCAGTTTCCTTTTTCAGATTGTCACTGATGACTGTTGTAATTTTACTGTAAACACATATAGCAAATAAAAAGGGTTACAGGCCTCCTCAGAGGAGACATCTTTGGTTTTTTTGGTTTGGTTTTTTTTTGGTTGGTTGGTTCATTGGTTGTTGTTTTTTTCTGTTAGCACAGCTGAGTGATGTGCAGATGTGTTCGTTCCTCTGACATCCCACTTTCCTGGGTCATCTGTCACATGCCAAATGCTGTGATCTTCATTTGCTAAAGTGATGTAGGGAATGGATATTGAAACCGACGATCAGTGCAAGGAGAGGGAGGGGCTGCTACAAAAGAGGGCAGGAACCCAAGCTAGTGCTAGCACTCTGGTAGGACATCCACTTTTGGCACTTTAGGAACAGCGTTGTCAAAGAGCCTTGTTCCTGGAGAGAGCCAAAGGTGGCTGGGCAGCCCACCCACCTGACCAGTTCATGGGTGATGTGAAATGTCCTCCCTGGGCTGGCTGCCGGTATGAGTGATCTGGCTGGACTTGACTTTGCACATCAGAGTTGGGGATATTCGCTGGGTGGGATGTCATTTCTCCCCATTATTATCCTCACTGAACGCTCCGCTAGGGTGGCTAGAACATTTCTGTTGCTGGGTTCTGTAAATCCTTCTATGTGGCTTGTGAGATACATGGGAGCATAATGCGTAGATGAACGATTTTACTCTCTCCCTCTTTCATACTTCGCCCTCCGCAGCCCAGGTAAGAGCCAGAGCTTACTCTGGGGGCTGCCCCTTTGAAGTCAGTGACAGGATGCTAAATGCAATGAAGAAATTAACAAAGGTCAAACTCAGAAATAACATTTCAAAGGGAATACTTAGTTCACAGCTCCCAAGCCGAAGGAGGTAATGCAGGTGTTTTTAAGACAACATGATCTCTGCAGAAATTGTCTAAAAGTAATCATTGCAGTGGGTAGAGTAATATATCATTTGATATGAAAAGAGCTTAAAAGCCTATGGGGAGATTCTGCCATAGGCTGAGAGTATGCTCTTGGGTTTCCCTCCGAGATTAAACATACGCTTGTTTTAAGCCACAATTTGTGGAAAATTATAACTGATAATTTACTGCAGTGTTTTACGTTGCAGCTTTCAAAACCTCAAACCTTCTAAAAGAATACCATTGAAACTCCTTTGCAGCTCTTTTTTGTTTCCTTTATATGCATCATATTGGGCTGACATTCCTCTCTCTGAAGGAACCCACATTTTGGATCCTTCTGTGATCTAATTACCTTGCATTCAAAAAACCCCGACTTGAGTGAGCCACTCAAAATTAGAAAATGTGAGAATTAAGGTAACCATGCAGCCTTCACGCACACTACCGTGGCTATAGATGACAGCCTTTAATTATGTGACCACATACTTTTTTTTGCCTTCTGCAGTTCCTGAGGGAGTGAGTAGACTTGTCAAGTAAGCAATTAAGTAATACAGATGCTAGCATTTTTGTATCATTTTCACAATGAAGAAGAATATTACTGAATAGCAAGATCACTCAAATGTAAAGACATTTCCTGTAGGCCTTAGCAAGGAAGCAGATTTATCTTGTGTGCAATCCCTGAAATTGAGAGGGCATCATTTTATGGTGTTATGCCGCAGTTAACTCTGCAGTTAAGGCTGTTGACTTGCAGAGAATGTAACCTTTTCATTTGCAGAGGAAATCCCATATTTTACATCTGCTTTTGTGGTGTATATTTGTTTGGATTCACAGCACCACCTGATGGCTGAAGGCCTGTTTCTTAGCTTGGGGATGCTGTGCATCCCTTGAACTCAGTTTCTGTTTGAAATGAAAACAAGGGCATACGCTAATGCCATTGCTGTGTTCTGTGGGGCACAAGTAATGCTGATGGCTAATGCACAGCGAGTTCCTCGAAAGCTTTGTGTCTCTGCCTTGGAATATTAAAAAGAATATTTGTTGTTATAATTTAGGCTCCTTGAATAAGGTTTCAAACAATATTCAAGTTACATAAGCCCTTCCAGGGAGTTATCTGAAAAGAGAAAAACCCTAGATATGTTATGTAGAAATTTCCTCTAGTCATGTGGTGGACCCCAAAGGTTTGGCCAAGCCTGTAAGCGGACGTTAGTACCAGTGAACACCAGTGGCAGTGGATGGGTAGGAGAGCTCCCCATGAGGTCGTGGCCAGTGTGGCCGGCTCTGCCTGCAGCCCCAGGGAGGGGTGGGCTGCAGGGGCACAGTCGGGGAGGTGGCTGAGGGAGACTTTGGGATCACCCTGGCTCCCCTGGTTAGAAAGTGTAAACGTAGCCAGTGCGCTGCTGTAACCATCATAAGATAATGTCTGTACGTGAGTGCTGCGGGGCACGGAGGAGCTGACCTCCGTTACTGCTCCACAGTGCTCCTGCTGCTCCAAATCAAGCGACCTATCCAAGCACCTGATCTTACAAGCCCATTGGATATAAAAATACCTTGACATATGCAGTATTGCAAGTGTCAAATCATGCTGTCCTCACTCTGCAGACCTGGAAAAGAAAAGCAAAGGTAAAGAGAGAGGAAAGTCAAAGGAGGTGAGCCTAGGGAGGAGTGTGCTCCCTTGTGTGGAATAGACTGAAATAGGTTTTCGTCTTGGTGGGTTTGAGGGAGAGGGGATATGTAGAAGGAAGTGGATTTGTGCTCAGCGCAGCCATTAACTCTCGTGGGTTATCCATGCAAATCCTCCACACGGCGAGAAGGGAATAAATCTCTGCTTGTAAAGCCTTAATGCAAGAATATTCCTTAAATACAAAATAGTGTGAAATCGATTCCAGCCGCCTTCAACCTTCCTAATCTTTTATTAACCATTATGTGTGATTTTATTGTTGAATCATAAGCTGATGCTGAAGGAATTTATGGGATGAAATTAGAATGAATGACTGGGCTCTGCAGTGTTTGTGGCTCAGTGTTCAAGTGCAATTCTTCAAAGTTGAGGGTTTTGTTCTCTCTTTTACGGGTTGCAGCTTTGTATCAAAGTAAGCACTGAAAGCTACTCAAATTTATAAACATTTATTTATATACATGTGATCTGTTTTTTTTTTTTCTAACTATCGAAGTTGATGGGAATTCTGCCCAAGAGAACAGCAGGATCTCACTGAAATTTATGCATATGCTTGATGCTAAGTGTGTGATAGAATTGAGTGTAATGGGAACATTTCCCAAATGGGACTCGAATGATTGTGGTCCACGGAAAACCTGTTTGTAGCATGTGCCATTGCTAGAGCAAAATGCTTTTGTTTTCTTCACTGCCTCTCAAGCATACTTCTAATTATTGCAAAATATATTCCAAGGAATGTAATGAAGAGCTCTGTTTTACATGCTTGAAATTAGAGGATAACTCCCTTGATACTTCAATTCTTGAATGTTCAGCCAATTTGCAGGTGTCCTGGCCTCATTAATGACTGCGCTACAGAAACAAGCTATTTTCAGATGCTTCCAAGAATACAGCGATTCCTGCAGTGTGGTGGTTAAGATTTAACGTTAACACACATCTTTGTAGACCTGTGTGGGTGATTGCAAAAGGAACCAGGGGTCAGTTTGGATTCCTGGGCTTTTCATTTGCTGCCTGCCTGTGGGACCTATGCAGGTCTTAAGAAAATCCACTGAGGCTGTGCATAGGAAGCACAATTTGTTTCTTGTCTCTGTGCCATGCTTATATTATTCTGGTATTTGCAAAGTAGATGCGTCAGGTAAAGACTTTTTGTGACAAGAAAGAAAAAACTGATGCTCCGCCCAGATTATCTGAGGGACTAGGTGGGGGGGGGGGGGGGGGGGGG